ATATACACGTCATATCAACAAGAAAACTGAAAATGATTTAATTGTCTGAACTCAGAAAAATGATTCCCACATATATTTTTCTCATTAAGAGTGAACTAAATAAACTGCCACAGACCTTGAGCATTCCTCCCTTGTGATCCTGTATCTAGAAAGAGTAAAGATGGAAGAGAACAAGAGTTTGCTACGGCAGAAAAAGCAAGGAAACACAAATCTCCAGAGCCTGTAGGTTCATGAAGCAAGGGTGAAGACAATGGAGAGGGAAATGGAAAGAGCAGGAGAGATCATGGGAATTATACAAGCCAGAACAGCACACTGGATCAACTAGGGATGTTCTGTAAGTCTGTTTAGTCCCATAAAGGTTGGTTAAAAACTGTTTATTTGATCTCCATAAGAAAAAAATTGCAACAGGAAGATAGCTTTTTTTTTTTTTTAGAGGAAAAGACTGATTTATTCTATTCTGTTTTATTTACTTGTATGCAATGTTTTATTTTATACCCTTCTTCTTCAAGCTGACCAGTGTGTAGTATTAAACACCTCCAGAAATATCAGTTGGGACATGGTGCTAGCAATGTCTTTCTGTCTTTGCTTGCTAGTGGTGGGTCTCCAGACAGGCAAAAGTGCCCACTGAATGGGGCAATCTGCTCCAGGGTGTTTGCAGAATTCACAGTCTGAAGGGAACAGGGAGGTTGGGGCAGGAAAAGAGAATGGATGGATCTTCTGCATTCTTCTCCTCTAGCCCAAAGAAATGTGCTGGAATTGGTTTTCTTTGCATCACGTAAGGATTAATCATGGCCATTAATGGTGCTACAGCCCTTCAGCTAGTAGGGCCTGATATCACCCTGGATGTTGTCAGTCGTGTTGTGCTGCACATCCTGTGTCCACTCCAGTCCTGGCCGTGCCTGACATGCTATCACCAATACGAGATCCACAGGTCAGCCTCTCCATAGAACAGAAAACAGCCAAGGGTGAGCACCTCCAGAGCCTGCTAGGAGCACTGGAGGCAAAACTTAACTACTCAGGCTGGAGAAAGTAAAATTTACAGTTATTTACAGAAAATTACTGAATTCATTCACAGAATTATTTAGGGTGATTACTAACTAAGGTTAAAATTATTCACAGAAGGGGTAAAGGTATTGTTTCAAGACCATACACAGACACTATTTATGATTAGGATCAGCAGTTCCCAGACTGTCTTCTGCAGACAGTCTTTTGTGGGGCATGAATCAGCAGCAGGCAGCAGATTGGCTGTACCCTGTCACCGTTACAATGCGGCAAGCTCATGAGCCATGTCCGGGGTGCTCTGCCAGAGATTTTCAAAATGTTTTTCTGTGACTTTTCTTTCCTGATTTGAAATGGAGTTAAGCCTCAGAAAGATGAGTCTCTGTTAGCAGCAAATTCAGTTCCATATTCACGATTCCAAAATATTTCCATTTTTCCCTCTTATTAAATAAGTCATATCTCAGAGAAGATGGATTTCAAGTACATGCCTGTACAAAAATATGATGTGAGCTGAAGCTCCTGCTCTGTAAAGTTCTTTAGACTGTGGTATGTAGAAAATTCAATTTTTTTCTGTGGATATTTTTGGTATTGTAACTGTGTAGTCTATAGGTAGCAGATCTGTAATTTTAAGCTAGCCATAGGGAAACATGGCAAGTCAGTATATGTATAAATCACTGGCTGTGACAGATGTGGGCTACTGTAACAAATCTTCTATACCTTAAATTAGTCATAAATATCAAAATATCATAAATACATGCCTTTCACTAAGCAGGCTCTCATTCATATAAAAAAGGTGACCATAGAAATCAATTGTGAGTTAATTTGGTATCTTAAAATGAAAGACATATGTGAAGCCAGCAACATCCATTGCTGAATTCACCAAACCCACATTATTTTAATTGTTATTAAAGAAGGAAAGGTTTGCACCTCAGGGATGCAACCTCCATTGTTAAACTTGTTTGTTTGTTTGGAATTTTTTCTTTTCCTTTGCACATGAAGAATTTAAAGTTCAACTATTGCTCTGCATATGTCCTGGCAAGGCTGATGAACAGCAAACACCCCCAAGTTCCTTCTCTCCTCAGGGAGTTCTTGTTTCATGTGTTTTTCATTTTAAGTTCTGCCTCCTCGAATGCTATTTCCTCTCTTTCAGTTTTCACCAAGGTCAAAGAAATCTTTAGCAAATAAAAAATGTGAACATCCAGTCATCTACTGGAATGGTGCCCATCCAGTGTCTAAATAATAATAGTTTAATGGAGCAGTCCTCCCAACAGTAAGTGTAGCACAGCTGAAACCTTCTTCTGAGTACTTTTTCACAGCTAAATAGAGTACTTCTCAAATAGAGGACTTTTTTTGTCTTGATTATGAACTGCAGAGTAATCAGTTCAGCAGAAATCACAGTTCTAGCAAGCAAGACTGTCCCAAGCTTCTGAAGAACATGACAGGACACAGACCTTTCCCACTGGCCTTTTCCCATCTGTGGGCAGATAGAGAGAAATTATGGCAAGCAGTTGGAAAGCCCAACTACTGAAAATATGTCTCATATTTTGATAATACTACACGAAAATCATAGCGATTGAGATTCTGTAGGACAAATTCAGCATGTTTTGGGGTATATGTTGGGAAAATTACCTATAAAAAGAGATAATATTTGCAAACTGCCGCCAGATGCAGTGCTGCAGCTGTCTGAAAGTCAAGAGTCACTACCTAACAGGATTTGTTACAGGAGATTCATGGGGATCATTTGTGTCTGCAGAGACAAGAATGTATTTGGAGGTTGCGTTAGTCAAGCAATTAACATCTACTGATATTTATTACAGATCTGGGCTTACTTTTCATCAAAAGTAGGATTCAAGCTCATGCTAGTAAGTGGGAGACTCTACCAAGCTGAATGTCTGAGCTGTGCATGAGCTGTAAAGGAAATCAGACCCAGAAGAGCTCTCCTGGACTGCTGCCTCCATCTCCTCCAACCACCTTGCTGTACCAGCTTCCACAAACTAGTAAGGCTCTGTCTCATGAGCATATTCAGGTTTGCAGATGGATGTTCCAGAAATGTAGGACTCTTCTGGTTAGAAACTTCCCTGCTTCCATTTGAAGTAATCTGTGTCAAAAAATGGCACCCATACTTCTCTTTGCTGCAGGTGCCCCACATCATACATCTGATCACATTTATGTTCTCCATAGGCCCATCACATATTGTGTCATCTGGTAATCAAATAGTTATTCCCAAGTCTTTTTTCATAGTTTCCTGCTTGGGGAAAAACTAAAGTGCCTGACCTCACCTTTTGGGTTATTTAAATTCATCCATTTCTATTATTCCAGTCCTGAAACTTATCCAGTTCTTCCTGTACACTGTCCTCCTCCACATTCACACTACATATTGCATTATCAGAAAATTTCATGAGCACAGTACTACTTTTTCTGCCAAAGTTGTTAAAAATGTTAAATAAGATCAGTCCCTAGACACATCTTGGAAGAACTCCACTGGTAACTTCCTTTCAGTTTGGTATTTTTCCTTTCAACATGATCTTTCATTTTTTTTCACCTCACAATTCTTCTGCTAATCCAAATTTTCTCCGGCTTAATGAGCAATTTCCTATGCAGCACTGAGTCAAGCACTTTCCTGGTAACTGAGTTGTATCTCATTTTCTTAAAAATCAAAATTTTTCAGGTTATTCAGACATGATCTACTTTTGTAATTTCATTTCCATCTTCGTGTCCTTATTTCTTATATCCAACATGTATTTTGAAAGTTCACGTGTTTTTGAAGCCAGACCTGTGGTTGATGAGGCTTTTCTTCTTTTTTTGCTTAAATTAGATCCAATGCTTGCTTTTTCAAGGAAGAGCTTTCATCTCAAATAAACACATTCAAAATCATTGTTAGCAGACTTGCAGTTACTTTAACCAGTTCTTTTTTCCAGGATGTGCTTCCACTGCAAGCTGACTCAGTCACATTAATCTCTTCAGATTTTGGCTTCTGCCTTAGATGTGGTTAATTCCATTTCCATTCACATATTCCCATTAGCCACACAGCCTTGTTTAACATCATCATCCCTGTTGAAATCTGAGCCAAAATATTCTTCTTGGGGCCATATCTATATTATCCTCAACTTCATCTTCACTGAGCTGTGCTTATAAATCATCTTTTTGTTTGTGTGGATAAAAAAATCTCTATTTGGTTTAGCTGTGTTTGAAAAATTCAACCAAGTTTTTCTTTTGGCAATTCTTATTTTATCCACACACCTCCTGACCTCTAAGACTTAATCCTGTTAGCTGAACATTACTCTCTTTTTCCATTCTACATAGAATGTCTGCTTGTTCTGAATAGGTTATTTCTGGGCTGGGTAATCATCCAACTAAGTCTAGATCCCTTCCCTTGATTTCAGTTGAGGCCCCAGAGAAAAGCTGCATCTTTGTCGTTCAGAAATTCCAGCTCACTGTTACACTCAAGTTCATAGGTTTCCCAGTTCAGTGAACTGCATGTTTGAAAGTGAAAATGGTAGTTTCATTTTCGACTAGAACTACCTGGTTTTACCTGGTTTAAATTAGTCAAGTCAAGGTCTGGTACAACCACGTCTTTTCCGGTGACCAAAGGTATAAATCCCAACTGCATCTAATTGAATGATCTGTATCTGGTTTAGAGTTTATTTGCTTAAAAGACTGTCAGCTATCTCAAATACCAAAGTCAGAAGCCAAATTTCTGGTAATTCTTCTAACTGGAGTGGAAATGCAGACATTTCTATCCAGAATCTGAGTTGGTATAAATCTGTGTTGCTCTGATGAAACTGGTTGAGCTGCAAAACTTTAAGCACACTCTTTTTCATGACAAACTGGATCAGACACGACAAGCACAGCACACTGGTTTAAAGAGCTGGCTGAGCTGCCTCGTTCTCTGCGAGCTTTCACAACCCAGAAGGACTTTTTATGGCACCATTTATAAGCTTTATCCCCTACAGCATCAAATAAGGACACTCCTATCACTCCTGCTGCCATTGAAAAAGCAGCTCACGTAATTTATTGTCCTTCATTTGCTTGCAAAAGAAGCAAAGAAGTTTCATTAAGTAGGTGGGAGAAGCTCAAGGCCCTTTTCACACTCACATGTTTTCTCTTTGTTGCTGTTTGTACAGGTGCAGTGAAAAAGACTCAGAGGGCATATTCATAAAGACAGGACTTGAGAAATGCCACTTTAAATTGTTTTAAATCAAAGGTTTTGGTAGCTCATAAACAAAGAGCTGTTTTTTTCCCTAGGACTGCAAATCTAAATATAAGGATCTACCTTCATGTACAAATACATTTCACATACACATGTAACTACCATTAACATAGTCTGCCCTTGTGGATTGTGGGAATAGGCTCTATTTATGCCTACTGAGAATTTCAATTAAAAAAAAAAAAAAAAGAAAGATTCTCATCATTTCATAATCAACCAGCTCATTTTGTATGTTGAAATAAAAGTATCCAATGAGGATGTCAGGAAACCTGTACTCCATCCAAACTGACCAATTTAATGCCTGCTGCAAGCATACTTCCAGACGAGCATCTGGAAATCTTAAATAAACAGAGATAGACATAGACACCCTTACACTCTGGGAAATAATTAAAGTTGGAATAAGAGCATGTTTGTGGACCAGAACATCAGCTGGTATAAATCAGCACAGATCCAATCATTCCAAAAAAGTAATGCCAGTTTATGTTAAAGTGCTAGCTGGCTCCTGTAGCTTTCCTTTGTGATTAATTTCAATGCAATCATTTGCTGGAACATGCTTTTGGACCAAGCTTCCTGAAGCATTGCTTTTACAAATCTCTTGTGTGCTCTTGGACCACTGCCTCTAGCACACCCTTCTGTATTAGGTCTGCTTTTCTCCAAACAGAAAGCTCAAGGTTTGGGATTTTTTAAAAATGGTATCTTAAAAATAAGATGAAACACAAATTTTTGCCAAGCAGTTACTTTATAATTATCATTTTTGGATCTTCTATGAATCAATGACATCTGACTTTTCATTCTTTGCCACTCTTTGATTAGATTAATGTTGCTATTTTCCATTCTGTGTGTACCACAGAACCCCACTGGAACCTCCTGTCTGCCTTGGAAAAACCTGCATCACCCAACTTGGGGCACCACAAGAGGGAAGCCACAGCACTATCTTGTGGCTGGGGAAGTGTCACCATGAGAGGCTGTGCACTCCAAGCCCTCTCACTGGAGCATACAGAGACATTTTGCAGCCTCATGCCCAAGCAGTCTGTGGTGAAATGCAGCCAGGTCTGCTCTCACAGCAGACACCCCCTGAGAAACCAGTCTAAGAGCATGCCTCACAGTTATCATGCAGCTCCCCAGCTATGGCTGGTACAATTTCTTTTCTATATATTTACCACAGGAAAAAAAGAGGGGCAAATGACTGAAAATACTGCATGTCCAGTCATACATTTCAGTTAAGCAGTCTTTGAAAAAACACAGACACTTGTGAGTTAGCTCATCACAGTCTGTGTTCCCTTTACCTTCTTCCCCAGCTCTCTCATCTCTTTCTCCAGGCCAACCAGAACCTAAAAACACATGAAGAAAGGTAGGGAACCCATGCGTGCAAGGTCAGGACACTTTTAAAGGCCATGGTAACTCTTAAAATATTCTACAACAGCATCTCTCAAAATGTGGGAATTGCTCCTGCAGGAAGGAAGGCAGTGTTCAGGATGATGGCAGCCATTCAGTTGTCCTTGGTCAACCATAGACAGCTCATATTCCCCATTACAATGGGTAAGTACAAGGCTGTGCAGTCTACAAGCGTTCAAAGACACAAAGGACTTGCTAAAAGCCCTTAAGTGTCAACAGAGACTCATTTCCTTCAGGGCACAGGACTAAATGCAGATATGTGCAGTCTTCTGGTTATGAGAAACTGAGCTGACGCAGTGTTAGGAATGATGCCTCAAGAAATGAGCCAAAAGTGTACTTCCCCACACAACACCTACCAGAAGCACAAGATATGATTTTCAACTCTCAGGAGGACAAAGACTGTTCTTTCAGTGTTATCCATGCTTCCTCTATGACAGCAACTTGTAGAATTACTTTTTCTGTGTGCTTTGGGTTTGTGTTTCCAGGTCCTGATTTGCAGAAGTATTAAGTATTCATATGGAAATCTCCATCTGGAATACCCCAAATTTGACTAGATATGACCCTGAAAGACCTGATCTGATTTCAAAGTTGGGTATAACTTCAAAATTGGCCCTGTTTTAAGCAGGGGGGTGGATCAGATGGTGCCTTTTAACCAGAACTATTCTCAGACTTCAGCTGCCACTGCAGTCACTAGGAGCTCTGCCTTGAACAGACGGGCTCCAAAAAATCAGAGATTTTCTGCTTAGCACCCAAAATTATTTGGGACTTTTGAAAATATTACACGTAAACACTGCATCTAGAAAATGGAGCAAATAATACCAAGACAATTCGCAAGCAAGGATTAAGGATTGCTTATGAATCTCTCAGCTGTTATTTTACAAGCATTAGAAAACACTCTGAGGAAATCAGAAATTTACTGCTGAGACCAGGGCTGAGGTAATATAAAGGGACAGAGCTCTTCATGGAACCATGATTCTTAAACACAAGACTGAAAACTCATTCATTAAGCCCTGTCTGTTCAGAATTATTTCTCTGAAGCATGGCTTCTGTGCAGAAGATAGTAAATCTCCATGGAATTGAAAACTGTAGCAGGCTTTCATTTTTTATTTTGTGCCCAATAGCATTTATCTTTTGAAAATGAAGTTTCAACAGGCCATTCCAATCGACTAGATACAATTTTACATCAATATTGAAACAGGTTTGTTGTTTTTTTTTTTTTATTGCCCTGTTAAACTTCAAAGTATGAAAATGGAAGTCTGGATGCCTGCAATTACAGCAGATGCCTTGAGTTTGAGTCAGTCAGTGACTAGTATTAACAGGGTACTGTGGAAGCAGAAGAAAATTCTCTGGAGTGTAAACACATATGTATCTAAGTGAAATCTATTCACTCAGCAATTAATCAGATTAAGAAGTCTACTGAAGAAATCGAGATTTCATTTAACACATTTCTCATGGGTAACTACTAGCAGTGATAGAAGAAACAAGGCTTCAAGGCTAAAAATAGAAAGCATTCCTATTATGAGTTTCGCTTGAAGCTCAAAAATGAAAATGCTGTGAGAACAAGAGAATGGGAGCCTAATAAAAACATCCTTCTTTGCCTCTGTCTCTCTGAAATGCCATGCTGAGAATCAGCACTTTCTTTCTCTGGCACACAGAAATGCATGAAGAAATCTTTGTGCCTGACAGATAGAACAGGAGATAAAAAGGATACAAAGCATCCAGCTTTCCATTACTTACATGGGCTGATGATCTAAATTACAAAGTTTGGAGAATTTGGCATTTACCAAATTTGAACCTTGCCCAGGCTTTTATTTTCTTCCTCAATAGTAAGATTAGAAAAACTTAAGAAAGGAAATATTTTCCCTATAACACAACATATAAACAACATCTGCACTTTGAATGAGTTCAAAACGCTGTTGGAATGAAAGTTTTTTCCCTTCCAGTATGCTTCAGTGGAGGAAAAGTGTCTCAGAGATTGAGCTGTCTGGTTTCATTGTAAGGTTGCTGGCAGAGACCCGGTGGCAGGATTGACAATGCATTAATCACCAGGCCCATGGGCCCTCCAACCCCACTCCACCATGAGGCATACTGGCAATGGATCTGAGGAATACTGGCATTATCTCAGCCCTGAAGACCTGAAGGCAAGGTCTTGCCTGAACTGCAGGTGAAGTGAAAAACATTTCACTGCATTAATAAAATACACATTTCTCTGGCTTTCAGACTGTCTGGGAGATAACTATTTAATGTACTGCAAACTCTGTTGCTAATATCTGAAATTAACAAACATGACTACAGAAAAGACAGATTTTCTGAGGTATTTTGTTTTGTTAATATTCATAATACTAATAATATTTTAATAATAGAGATGTATTATCACATATTAATTACTTGAACAGAGGCCTTATTCTTATTTATGCATCTTCCTTGGGTGAAAATAGCATCAATTCAAGAGTGTTGTGGCATGCAGACCCAATTGATGCTGGACGCACAGGGAGCTATGCTCCACATTAACTTTATTGGGCTTCCAGGGTAAAGAGAGAACAGTGCATCACAGTTACATCACCTGGCAATTTTAGCAACTGGTCCTTCCAGATGCTTTATTTCAGCTAACTTAATTGCACTGCAGCAGCTTGCAGAAATTTGGAGGCCTAGCATGATCAATTCTGTGCAAATTCTTTAAGCCTGTCTCAGTTTGTGCACTAAAAAGTGAAATACTCATTTCATCATGATCATTATCTAATTGATTCGTTCCTGTCTTGCTTGATTGCATTGCCATTTTAACTCAAAATCAGACATAACAGCTAAGAAGATGGGAGCCATCAAATGACTTTTTAACCAGCACCATTTCCTTTGGTTATCAACTTTGACTAAAAAACAGTGACAGTCAAAGCTGTAAGACTCTGTATTGCTCTTCTTTATGAACAGGGAGAGCTGCTGAATTTGGCATCATCTCACTATAAACACTTGGACAAGAGATTGGATACCTGAAATCCAAAGAAATATTGTTTGCAAACAATAAGCAACAATAAAAGCAAAACTTTGCGCTCAGTCTGTATATAGTTCTTGAATCCAGGTGAAGTTTAAACCAATATTTGGCCTTGACATATATTCCCACAGAGTGATTGTGCAAGTATTACAGATTTTAATAATGTTTATATAAACAACATGAAACGCAAGATAAAGAACTTGATAATTACATATCACTTTTAAAGATACAAGTGAACTGTTTAAGTCTTTCAAATCAAAGTGATAATGGATTACAGCTTTATATGTAGTCAAAATAGAGATTTGTGGAATATGGGTTTTTTATGTCTTCTAGATCTATTTTTAAATATTTTTAAAAATAAAGCATCCCATCATTAGTTCTTTCAATTACTGCATCACATAGTGTTTTTTACAGGCTCTAATTATATCTTAGATTAAAATTCAAAACACCTGCTCTTGTGGATCACACTAATTTCAGCCTCGAGTATTTTCACACAAAGAGCTATAATCAGAGAGAACCAAGTGATTTCCTATTCTCTGTACCACTCCTTCTCAGCAGAGTACAGCTAGAGATCTCAATTTCCTTCTTATTTTTTGTGTTATGATTATTACATCTTTTATTTAAAGATTACTTTTTATTGTTGAAAGATGTAGTATTTTTACTTTTATTTAAATCAGATGAAGCATTTAATGCAGATACTAGTTTTTAAAATAACAGTAATTTTTATTTTAAATAGCAGATGAATAATGTTGCTTTCTTCTGGTAGCTCACCTTTTCATTTCTGTGTAGCTAATAAAAATACTTTGTTCCTGCTTTTAAGAAAATTAGTCTTGAAAAACCCTGTAATTTGAGTTCAGGGATTTAAATGAGAATACATATCTACTTGAAATATATTTTTTAATGTACTTGGTTCTCTGTCATTATTCTCTTCTCTACACTTTAAGGGTGTGATCCAAAGCCCATGGAGCCAATGGGAAGACACACAGGTTTCTCTGGACTTTGGTCAAGTTCTAAATACTGTATGAAGAAAAGGAATGGTTGAAATGTCCATGTAGATTCTATCACAGTAAAATAGGGATATCTTTAAAAGTACTTGTTCTTTGATGAGCATGAGATGAGATCTGACCCTTTGCTCAGCCTCACTGGTTTTAAGCTAATAGGACAAACTATAGGACATAATAGGACAACAAAGAGCCAGGGTAGGGCACTGAATCAGGTGCACCAGAGCCCTCCAAGGTCCTCCAGAGCAATTCAATTACTCTGAATTTTATGCAATGATTTACTTTCAAATAACACTGTCTGCTGAAGCTGCGGGGGTGGGCCAGCAGTTCTGTGCCAGAGCTGCTTATTTTGTTCCTCCTCCATGCTATGCTGGAGCTTGCCACTTTGCTCTGATGCAGTGGGCAGGTTTCTGAAGGCCCATGAAAAGCCACCTAGCTCTTGCTCCAGAGTATATGAATGCAATGAAAATAGATATAATAGCATCAGACTTAAAACAATCTTTTCAGAAATCCCGTAAATTTATACTCTATGCTCCTCACTATGATTAATTAGCTGTGAAAGTATTCATTGGTATTTTTCTTCCCTTTTCCATGTCATGCATTAGAGAGGTAGGGAAGGTAAGCTCTTTGTGGAAAAATTCAAGCCCTCTACATGATAAAATGCCATATGCCACTGGTATGTACCAAACACCTCTAGTTTTCCCTATACACTCAAAGAAATTTGTGCCCGAGTGTTGTACTGTGAGCTTTCCATCATTTGTAGACAGCTGTTCTGTTTTAAGATAAATAGCAACATGGGCCAGAGATATCTACTAGAATCTCACAGGCAAGCCCAGTGACTCTGATTAACCATCAGGTCTCTGCTGCACTCAGTGTTTTCCAGTAGTACTTTCAGCTCTGTTCACATGCACATAGCCAGCTGTGTGACTGCTGTGGGAGAAGGAGACTTCCTGAATGGACAAGACATGTGCGAGGTTATGTGAAGGAACTGGGACAGCTCTGTGGCATTGGCCCCATACTCCCCTGGCTCTGGGAGTGCCTCACCAGCTCACAGCACTGTGTCCCAGTTAATAATCTGGTCTTATGAAGGGCAAGTTTGGGTCAAGGACAAGATTTGTTTTATGTTGTTCAGAGTTTCCAGTCTTGCAGGTATCTCAGGACAATTGAAGCTGGCTGGTACCTCCTGAGCAGAGCCCAACAGCCACCAGCACAGAGAAACCCAAAAGGAGAAAAATAATTATCAGTGGCACTAAGAGCAAAACAAGTAATGCAAATTTGTGCATAGAACCCAGGGCTTTGTTTCACAAAGTCTCACCTCTCTGCATGGTAGATGCATGAAACTTGATGTCTGCCTACAGGAGCTGAAAGGCTGAGTCAACTCTGCTGAGATTTAACCCAGTGGTTCCAGAGAGTCTAGGTGTATCAAATGTGGTGGTTACATGACTAAACTACTTCTTCAGCTTTATTTAGCTGTGGCTACTGCCATCAAAACAAACCATATGTTGCAAAACTGTTCATTATGCATTTGTGGTGGGTTGACCATGGCTGGAAGGCAAGTGCTCACTAAAAGTCTCTCTATCATTTCCCTCCTCAGATGGACAGGGAGGACAAAATAGAACAAAAGGCTCATAGGTCAAAATAATGATAGGGAGATATTGCTGGTCAGTTACCGTCACAGGCAAAACAGCCTTGACTTGGGAAAATTAGTTTAATTTATTAGCAATCAAATCAGAGTAGGGTAATGAGAAATAAATACCTAATAATTATCTTTATATATGTAAGTTAATAAATCTTAAAATACCTTTCTCTAACCCCTCCCTTCTTCCCAGGGTCAACTTCACTCCCAAATTCTCTCCCTTCTCCTCCCCAGTGGCTCAGGGAGATGGGGAATGGGGTCTGTGGTCAGGTCATCACATGCTGTCTCTGTTGCCTCTTCCTCGCCAGGGGAGAACCCACACTCTTCTGCTGCATGAACTTCAACGTGAGTCCTTCCCATGGGCTTCAGTTCTTCAAGTAGAAACTTCTCACAGAAGCCACCTCTATACCAAGACCTCTCCCTGCAAACCTGATATAGGGTTTATGCTTCATTTGATGGGAAAGTATTTTTAAAACAAGACAAAACCTTGTGGTAGTCAAACTGATTTAATTTTTAGCTACACAGCTTAAAAAACATCTGTGTTTTTCTTTCATAGTAGAAATTTAAATGAAACTGATGTTTATAATTTGGAATTTATTACCACAAGGAAAGTCTGCCTACCACCTAGTAACTGGAAACATTAGTAAATTAAAAAGATAACACAGAAGATATTAAAAGAAATAAATAAAGCTGTGCACAAGCAGTGTCTTCTGTCTGATAGGAGTCCTTAGAGAGCAATACTGTGGCATTTTCCAGAATTAAATTGCATTATTATAAGAGCTTTAAATTAAGCTCCTATCTGTGACCTTTAAACACAGTGATTGCCATTATGCCTGCTGAGGAGGTTGTGGAGGGTTTGGAAACCCTGTGCAAGACTGATAGGTTATAATACGTAATCAAGTACAGGTTCATTTAGCACAGCTGTTGAACAGAGGGTCTAACACCAGGTTATCGCAGGGAGTGCCCTCTCTTTTCTTCCAGGCAAATCAGTGTTAACAGTGGGAGGCAGGCTTGTTAGTGCAATGGAAAACAACACAGTATCTTCGTGATGAAAGAAAATGAGAAGTTTAACAGACATGCCCCTCCTTTAGAGAGTGACCAGGAAAAAAATCTTTCCTCAGCACTCATGTAGAACCAAATGTTGACAAAACAAGCAACTGATGTATAGCTTTGGTCTCAAAGTATTTCTATAGGCACAATCCAGAATAAAAGCAATCTAGAAGACAGTAAAACATAATAAGCCAAATATGCTGTGGGAGTATGTTTACTTAGGTGAGGTAAGACCTCATGCAATGCATACTTAAAAAAAAAAAAAAAAAAAAAAAAAAAAAAAAAAAAAAAAAAAAAAAAAAAAAAAAAAAGTAACATTTTTAAACAAAGGCACAGAGATAAAAAAAAGTTTTCTTGCTCTCCATTACATTTTGTTCTCATGTGTACCTACTGACATTTTATACACCTATCTTATGCCTTTCTGCTGGTTTTATCACCAACAGGAAATTAAACTCCAAATAAGCCACTTACTTTCCTTCACTCCTTCTGGTAAGGGAGGGACAAAAAGCAGAGATTATGGGTTGAGATAACAATTTACTAAAAACACAAAGAAATGGAGTAAGGTACACGCAATAACAGCAGTATTAATAGCAAAAGTATACAAAAAAACAAGGTGTTTTAACCACAAAAAGATGTTCACCACTGGGAACAAAGCCAGGAGAGCAGTCACTCCCTGTATGTTATGTCCATGTATTCCCAGACAAAGGCAATATGGCAACCATTCCCATGTGTTGCTCACATGGCCATTGGGAAACAAAAGCAGGAAGGCAGGTAACATTTCCTGTCCCCCAGCCTGAAAACAACGAAAAGCCATGACAAGCCAGCTCCCCAGAAGCTGGGTTGTCCAAGCAGGGGTTGCTCAGCCACTCTGCTGGTGCCTCTGGTGCACTTCTAATAAACTAGTCCTGTGGGGTCTCCTCATGGGGTTTTCCTACTGCTCTACTCTGCTCCTTTTGGCTCTGCTCAGCTGGCCTGGCTTCAGCTTGACTCCTTTCCTGGGTTGGAATGGCCCCCATCACCATTCCATTCTCTGCCAGCAGCCTCCCACTGGCACTACCAGTTCAGCACTATGGTTGATTTGCATTTTCGCCACTGTCCCGTTCAGCACCATGGCCTGTAGTCACGCTCCAGAGAAAAATGGGAGGTGGGACGGGCAGGGTGGCAGAGGGATTGAGTCCTCAGGGATTGATGTTGATACCTTCCCAAAGGAAGGCAAAATGGTGGGGTCACCTGGGTCATTCCAAAGCCATGTGCCCCTGTGATAATGTGAGTGGTGTAGAATAACAGCCTGGTCATGTCTGCTCCACCCCTATCTGCAACCACAACAGCCTTACATCTTACACACCTCCAGATACCTATCTTATGTGTTACAGAATTATCTTCAAGTGTCAAAAAAGGAAACACTTCGGAGAAATAAACGAGGCCGCAACGTACTGTATGGTTATGAGGAGCCCATTCTGTAAATGTGCTATACAACCTATCCCAAAGGCTGTTAGTTCTCATCATAGAAACCAAAAATTTGGGTGAGTATAGGAAATAGACATCTGAGAGGGTTTGACTTGTCTCCATAAAGTCCCAGCTCTTCCGGTAGGCCAGATAGGAGAGACAGCATCCTGACTTGTCTGACTCCCCAAAGCAGGGTTAGAGTAAGTCAAGGCCCAAATAATCTATTTTGTACTATTCACACTGCATGGACTGTAGGACCTCCTTCTGCTATGCAGAGAGCATTTCTCTGGAGTACCTGACTCTCCAGGGGTGCTGCCACTTGTGCTCTGCTGCAGAAACCACAGCTGTGGGTTCAGACCACGGTATCATGCCTGAAGACTTTTCCCTGTCCAGCTCTGCCAGTGCCCCTGACCAGTCTCAGAATGACCCAGTCCTTGCTGTCAGGTCCACTCATCACACACAAGTGCAACCTGAGCTCACAGGTTATTAAATACACCAAAAACTCTACTGATACCTCACCCAAACACATGTTGTGTCAAGGGCTGAAGTTTGAGTGGACAAGATGTGTGTGGTGGCTGGTTTTGGTATTTATGTGACAGGTTTTCAAGTGGCACAACCAGGACAACTGTACTCTGCTAATAATATTGTGCAGTACTGTGTCAGTAATAATTATTGTACATGTTTTATTAGTTCAATTTCTAACCAGTAAATCAAGTAAAGGTAGGCAAAGTCTGAAGCATCACTTTCATACTTTAACACTAGGCAAAAAATTCCAATTTTTTCACTGAGTCTTTTGACTAAAAAAAGTATATGCTCCAAATTCACATGGCCTATCATCCCACATAAGTTCTCCTTCCTACTTATCCAAGCATCTTTGAAGGATGAAAACCAGACAGTAAAATAATGTGGGATTTACACTCTGTGAATCTGGGTTTCTGTGAAGATTACAGAAATACAAAATAAAAATATTAATAGGTTAAGTTATATTTTTCAATGGTCACGTTGACAAAGAAGGATCTCAGAGTTGGTCAAGCAGAACCTGCTTTTCCCAAACCCCTGCTGACTTGGCCTGAACCCCTGGTTATCCTGTATATGACACATGATGGCACTCAAGATGATCTGCTCCATGAACTTCCCTGGCACTGAGGTCAGGTTGACAGGCCTATAGTTCCCTGGATCCTCCCTCTGATCCTTATAAATGGGCATCGCATTTGCCAGCTTCCAGTAACGTGGGACCTCACTTGTTTGCCAGAACTGCTGGTGAATGATTGAAAGTGGCCTGGTGAGCTCTTCTGTCAGCTCCCTCAGTAGCCTTGGGTCAATCCAATCCAGCCCCATGGACTTGTGAGGGTTGAAGTTGCATAGTACATACCTGGCCATTCCCTCTTGGATTACAGGAGCTCAGTAACCAGATTAAGCTGGCCAGCATTGACCCTTCTAGTTTTCCCCTGATCTTCCTGCCCCTTTTTCCAGAGGTGATTAACTCTTTTTTTCTCCCTGAGTTCCGGCCAAAGCTCTCTGTTCAGCCAGACCAGTCTTCTTCCCCACTGGCTCATCTTTTGACATATTTAGCATATTTTTGTCTTCTGGTTTCTCACAGTTGAAGGAAAAAGTAAGTTTTTCTTTTCTATAGGAATTCACTATAGTATTGGTAACAACATGTATAATAACCCTGTGCCAGTTTTGGCTGCTGTCACTCTTTACTCTCAGCCATGATTAGACAGAGGTCTCGTGGTCATCTATTCCTGACTGCATGGGATAACTTTCAGGAAACTTATTTCTACCTATTCCACTGACCTCTGTTGGTCATGGAAGAATGAATTTGCTTTTGTAATGGTGTTCTGCTGGAAGAGTTCTGCACAGATTCTTCACTTCTTATTCCCCCATGACCAACATTTTGTCACAGTATTTTTCTACAGGTGTTTTCAATTTTTTTCTAATTTTCTTGTTTTAATATTATGTAAACAGAGATACAAACTGATATATTAAACCTGAAGTCTGTTTAGCTGCATATCTAAGGCAAGCTTAAAGAACACTACAATCTGCTTCCTGCTCCTTTCTGCATCTCACAACAGCTTGTTTGATGTGCAGCCAAGTTTTACTTGTCTCTTGGGCTTTGTAGGTGAAGGTGGGATACATTCCCTTTCAATCACTGGACTCTGCTGTTAATTTCTCTGATGAACTTAAGTTATCCTAGCACTGGAATTAACACAAGTACAGAGCTGTTCTTTGTGTGGGATACAAGATTTTTTCTCTTTATACTTCATCCATATGCAGTTTGCTTTCTTGATCTGAGGAGGTTTGTCTTCCCTTTACATTGGGAGGAGGGAAAAAGTGTATAAAAATGCATGTCTTCCAAATCCTAAAATGTGTTCCCTTGTCCAGCTTGGGTGAGAAGGAAAAAATATTTGGCAGTTTTATTCACCTTTCCAGAGCAAGAAAGCATGTACTTGTATAGCAGAAGTAGTACTTGATATGCACTGCTATTAGTACAGCACAGAGCAGCTTTGTAGGCATTCATATTCAAGTCAGCTACCCAAGTGTTTCTCCTTGTAGACATCTGATTGAACTGAATGATTTATGTCTATCTAAATCTGCACTATATTCTCATTGT